CACACACACACACACAAACATACATTACAGCTCACTATAAAAAGTGCAAGCTGTTGAATTACCTGCTGAGAAGCCACGGGTACTCGCATTCCCAGATACAATGCCTGAAACACACAGTTTTGAAATCAGCGTCACGTGTTCATTGTTGTTTTTACAGTATGAGCAAAAGCACAAAGCAGCTACGCAAACGTATTCGCTAGTCTAGAGTTATTGGGTGATCTTGAATGACCAGCACTACCCAAAACTATCAATATAAGTGAGGAAGCTTGGTGAAATCAGAAGCTTGTTGTAAAAATTGTGAAGTTGAACATTTCCCTTCAGTTTGGAAATTTTTTTTCGAATTTATCATTACTGTTTTGTTAATATTTTTAGCTCAACATTTTTTAATATCCATTTAAGAACACATGTCTGTGTTAATTAACAGAAAAACGCTGATTAAAGGCACACAAAATGTATGTTTTCAGTTATCAAAGTCTCTCAATCTATGGAATTAACCAAAGTTTGGCGGACATTTTCTCGATAATTTAACCTCTGAAACAAAGCAACACCCACCTCAATCAATTGCAGATAACTCGACTTCTATTCAATATAAAATATGACGTTTATTAATCGCAGGCTAGGCAAATGAACAACCTTTATCAGTTTAAGATGATACCAATTACTCAACATGCCCCAATACTGACGAGCACCTGATTCCACCGCGTCGTGACACATAATAAAATACGATTTATTAGTTTTCAAGGACAGCCCAGTTTGGTAAAGGGGGATCTAATGCTCTGTGTGCATGGGACACGTACAAACTTACCAACCGTCTGTCATGATACACGCTATCATCTAGTGAGAGAGAGGGTTGAGGGAAGAGGTCTTAGCACCTTTACTTTTGCCCAGGCCTAGCACCCCAACTCGTTTAGATCAGTCAGGGGCCTTCGAAATAAGTGAGATACATCCTCCCAGCGAGTTTTCAAAAGTTCTAACAGATTTTGAGAAGCAAACAAACAAGCAAACAAATATATAAATAAATAAGTAAATGCATTTTTTAAAAAACCAAATGAATAAATAAATAAATAAATGAATAAATAAATAC